GATCGTTGAATGGCCCTTCAAAAAACTGTATTGACTTGGCTAAGGTGATATATATACCAGATTTTGGCATATGTGTGGTTTCGGTCTATAGTCCTCATCAGTAAGGGACGTCTTTGATTTTATAACATCCTACGATGGAGTTAAGAAATTGGTCGAATTTACCAAAAAGGTGCTTGAACTGGCGAAGTTTCTGAACTGATTTTCAGGCTAGAATACAACATAAAGTTACAGAAATATGATATTTATGTATCTAAAGAGAGCCATCTCTCATTTTTATTATGATGCACCAGCGCGCCATCTGTTATCAAAATTCGAAACTATTTTAAATTTCAAATTTCAATTATTTCAAATAATTTTAAGGCTTATGTCCATAGTTCTTCTAAAATACCCATTCCAAGAGTCTATCCTCAGTATCACTATAAAAGGAAGTTCCAAAAATGCAATATAACAGCGGTATGGTAGATTAAACTGGCGAAACCGCTGGGAGGGTTCACCACTGATGAGCCAGGCCCTCCCATTAATTTTTCCATTGCAGTAAGAGCAGTAGAAATTGTTTAATTTCAAAAAGAATCTTACGCCTTTAAAATAGTTTCGAATTTTGATCTATCATTTTATTTATGCATCAGAAAATCTAATGCGTAATTAAAGAGAGTGCCTTTTTAGGTAAATGAATATCCATCTCCCGCAGCTTTATGTCAAATAAATACATGCATCAAGTTTGTGCTCTTCCGTGAACATTTTGTAAATAATCTAATTTGTCTTCAACTATCCAGGGTGTTTATGTGGACTGAAAAGGCAGGATTCCAGTCATCTGCTTATTGAATGTCCAATCTTCCAGAACTACTGACAGCGGGAAAACATTGAATACAAGGATCTTTTTATGTTTATAAACAGTAAGGACTCGTATTTAAAATTTAGAAAATACTGTAAATATATCTATGATTTTATTTCTTGGTTAAAAGACCATAATTACTAAACTATGTATATATATTTGTATTTATTTCATTGGATGTTTCTGGGTTGGTTGTAAAATCAAGCATGATTTTGATGTTCTTTCATTTCTTTTCTTCTTTAAACTTCTACTCAAACCAAAATTAATCAATTAGTCAATTGTTTATGTAAAGTATTCTCTGAATTTAGTGTTGTTGCTTGACGCAAGCATCCCTTGTGGGGATATCGCATCTGATTTGATTATAATAAATAAATAAACTTATATAATATTGTAGAACGACATGTAAAAATTACCCCGCATGCGTTTCTTTTGAACGAAAAATCGAAATTCAAATTAAGGAGAAATAACGATTATTTCTAACCTTAAGGATGAAGGGATGAATTGTGAAGAGTAATGATAAACGAAAAAATAAAAGTGTCTAGGGATGGGAATCGAAAACACAGTGTTCCGCTTACCGGGCAGATGTCATGTCCACTAGGCTACCCTGGACATATTTTTTCCGTTCGTAAATATTATATAAAGTAATTTATAATACAATATAATGTGGTTTATGATTGTAGAACGACATTTGAAAATTATCCCGCATGTGTTTCTTCTAAAGTAAAAATTACAATATTATATTTTGATATTGTAACGCGTGATCTGTGAACAAGATTAAGAAGGATATTGAATTTTCTATAAAAGTGCGACTCTAGCTAATTAGACATAACTATCTCCACATAGTTACTAAATACGAGCTGGTGTTTCTGTGAAAATGGTAATTGCGGACGTAAGGATAAGATTTGCCAGGATGTCAAACTGCGGAAATGGAAGCAATAATCGACTCAATACATTGATTGTACACATTATTAGAATTAATAACCTCATTAATTTTAATATATCGAATAAGATTTATTTCACTTCTTGAGATAGACTAATTAGGGAGAATACACTGAAAATCCTTCAAATTACTAAATCATAAAACTTATTTATTTAACATACTCGTGTAAAAATACTTTCTCATTTATTTTTATTCTTTAAGATAAGTCTAAACTGGCAAGCTAAGTATTTTCTCGGATTTTGTGAATAATTGCTCTGTTATTGAATTTGTAATATTTCATTAAGAAATTCATCGATTTATATCCATATTTCCTCAACTCCTCAGCCAGCTATTGGTTAGTGTCTGGCAGCATTCCTTTTCTCTCAAAATATCTCCTTTATAGCTTTGATTATATTATAGGGTCTGTTGGCTTTGCTTAGAATTATTAATGAAACTGATTCCAATAATTATCAATTAAACATTATATTTATTGATTTACAAGAGAGAGAACAAAATATAAAAGGGAAACTAATATTAAACGCACACACAAAGCCTTTATTAAGACGTTAGTCTTATACAGATTCTCAGTACAAGGTGCAATAACAGGAAAGAGAAGCACAGGAAACCAGTAGTTCCGCAACTATATACAATTATTAGTAATAAGGAAAAGTAAGATTTAATATGAAAGGTCGACGCCATCGCCTCAAGTCTTCAATTCCATAAGCGCGGAGCATAAATAGGGACTAAGTTATTTAGTTCGCCATAAATATAGCATCCAGACACAAAAAGGAGGTTTACTCCAGCACAGCCGTCCCTATCACCAGCTCCGCAATCTCATCGTCGACCAACACGATGGCCCCTCGATGTTTCGTCATCATTTTGAGGTGTAAGAACAATAGCTTTCAAGTTATCTTTTCTCCCTCTTCACACCTACTGCCTTGTAAAAATTATATAGGGCCTGAGCAACTAGTCTACTTGTTTGGGCACTGGTTAACATCGTTTGGATTGACCTAAGTTGGCTGGTGTCTACCGTTGAGAAGAATGTCATTCTCTCCTCGCTAATATATATCTTGGCATTCATAGATATAATGAGATAGTTCAGTTTTCGTATTTTCTTTGCAGAGATCACAAATCTTATCACCCTCGCTGAAAATGTTTGTATGGTTTTCCTTGAAAACGAATATAGTATTCTCTGTTGTGCGATATAGGTTTTACTGGGAATGGATAGTTGCTAAATAAATAGTTTTCAATTCGGAATGAACTGTGTAAATACTCTTAGTGAGGGTAGAATTTAGAATTCTCTATTTTTGCCTGGTCACTTTGAATAGATTGTTCTATTGCAATTTTAGTTATTAATGGTATTTCTTGCCGGATAATCCTTGCATCGTTGCAGTTAATTAACCAAGAAAATCATGTTGAGTTGAGTATGTTGGCCAAACTTTCCGCAAGTCCAATATATATTTATATTTCTTGATATCTCATATAGTTGAGCTAAGCATATATGGGGGAGTCGGCTGCTGTTCATTTTTAGAATTCTAAGCCAAAACCCGAGTGTAAGTTTCAGCACCGTAACTCCCAGTGACGTTCTTCCGCAATCCATACGTAGAATAAAACCAGGAGTATATCTGAGTAAGTTTGAAGGTCTTCGTAAAAAATTGTCTTGTACCCTGTCAACCAAGTTTTTTTGGTTGTTTGCCCAAATTGGAGCTGCGTAGAGCAAGGTTGACAGAGCCATTGAGTCTAGGAGCTTGAGTGAGGAACTGATAGAGTTTATTCTTGTTTTAGTCGATATTGCCCAGACCGCATTAATAGCATTTAGCGCCTTGTTTTTAAAATGCTTTGCCGCCTGTTGAGTTGAGTTTGACGCTGTCATCTGGTAACCCAGATACGTGTATTTAGATGTTATAGTGAGAGGCAATTGTCCCCAGAACCAAACATCCGATCAGGCCTTTCGACCTCCATTTCTAAACACCATAACCTTTGATTTGCTCTGGTTCAGCGTTAAAAATTATCTTCGAAGTATTTTCTGAGTACAATGATCTTTTTTTTTGTAAATTTATCTTGGATTCTCCGAGAAGTACGATGTCGTCTGCGAACAGAAGGAGATGTATATTTCCATAATTCGGTAAATAAATACTTGGCAAATCAGCGTCATCGTACAGAGAAACCAAGTCGTTTAGAAAAAGGATAAATAGATAAGGTGACAGGGGTTCACCTTGTAGAACACCAGCTTGTATTTTTATAAATTCTGTAAGTGATCAGTTCCATCTTATTGTTGCTGACATTTGATTATAATAGCTTTGTATAAGGCTGATAAATCGGGTACTTGAACCGTAAACTGTCAACTTCTTCCAAAGCAGGGAGTGTGGTACTGTAACAAAGGCCTTTTTGATATCTACGAAGAAGGCATATAACTTCCTTCTTTTGCGGCCCAGCGTCATCTGTATCAGTGAGGTGAGGGTAAAAATATGGTATTGACAGGAATATCCACTTCTGAAGCCCGCTTGGTTTTCCGCTAAGATTCCCCTTTTTTCAATCCAATTATTCAATCTTGTCTTTAATATGGATGTAGAGAGCTTTGATAAATTGGATAACAATGATATTCCTCTATAGTTTGATGGTATATTTGGGTCACCATTTTTGAAAATAGGATGAATAATTGTTCTAGTCCACACTGATGGAACCGACGATGTCGTCAATATTTTGTTATATTATATTAAACAAAGGAACTTTTTCTGTTTCGGTTAGCGCCTATTTACCTGTGAGCTTACACACACTCTGTGGTAACAATTAATTTATATATATACAACACACGCTCCCCTGTGTGTAAGCCCTAATCAGCAAGTCCAAGGCTATCTGCACATTTCCGTAGTTTGTCCCTAGGTAGACTCTTCGTTAGTATATCCGCCTCCATGTCTTCACTTTTAGTGTATGCCAGCTTGATTCCTTTTTGAATTTCCTCTTTCACAAAATAATACTTTCGGTTTATGTGCTTTGTTCGTGAAGTAATTTTGTCAGATTGTATCCAGTTTATTGCAGCCTGGCTGTCACTTTTCAAGGTAATTGGGAAAGTTAATTTTTCACAAAGTTCTTCTAGTAATCATTTTAACCATAATACTTCTGAAATGCCTTCACATATTGAAATAAGTTCTGCTTCACATGTAGAGAAGGCTACTAAATTTTGCTTACTACCACTCCAGTTTATTAAGTTTCTGCCAAGTTTGACTGTATAGCCTGAATAGGAATTTGCGTCTCGGGTTGTGCACCAGCTCGCATCAGTACTTATTGTAATATTGTTGTCTTTTGACTTATAAGCCAACATTTTATTTCGTGTTCCCTTCAGGTATCTCTAAATCCTTTTAACTCCAGTTAAGTGTATTTCTCTTGGATCATTACTATACTGTGATAAATTGCTGACGTTGAATGATATGTCCGGTCGAGTACCCGTAGAAAGGTACATTAGTGATCCAATCATTTCCTGGTATACAGTTTTATCTACTGGCTTAGAGTTCAAATATTCATTCAAATTTTTATTTTGATCTCCAGGTGTCTGCACACTTTTGCATTCTTCCAGTCAAATTCTGTGAAGAATTGTATCAATATAATGAGTCTGATATAGATGAAATCCATCTTCTGCCCTTTTTATTTCAATTCCAATAAATGGTTCGCTATCTTTCTTTTCTGTTAGAGTAATATATTTTCTATTTCTGAGGCTAGGTTGTCATTAATTTCCTTACTAGTTCCAGCAATGATGAGATCATCTACATATAAACCCAGTATTGCATACTCTTCTCCTCTCTGTAGTTTATAGACACATGGATCACATTTGGTTCTAATCATTCCCAACTGGTATAAAATTTCATTGATCTTTTTGTTCCAACATTTTCCTGATTGTGGTAGACCATACAGGCTTTTTTCCAATTTACACATTTTGTTTTCTTCTCCTTTTTTTCATGAACCATCTAGTTGTTTCATGTATACAGTCTCTTCTAACTCACCATAGAGATAAGCTGTCTTCACATCATAAGTCTTTATGATTAAATTCTGTTGTGTTGCAAGAGTTACTATTGTTCGCAAGCTTTCCTTTTTTAGTACAGGTGAAAAAGATTCCTTATAGTCCATACCATATCTTTGATTACATCCAACAGCAACCAGTCTGGACTTTCTTTTATATATGCTGTCATTTGAGGTTTTCTTTGTACTGTAGACCCATTTACTATTGATGACTTTCATACCATTTTCCCTTGGTACTAGTGTCCATACTTTATGTTTCTCTATCTCACTGTGCTCTTCTTCCATTGCTTTGAGCCATTCATTTCTTTCTCCACTATCCATTGCTTCTTTAAAGTTCTCCGGGATATAATGATCTATTTCCATAATTAAGTTTGCATCATTCCTATCCTTTATTCTTTGTGAGCGTCGAACTCCTTCTCCAATCAATTTCTTTCTTGTTCTTCAAGTCTTGCTTTGTGCCGTTCTTCTAAGATGCTCTTTGTTACTCCTTTCTTTCTTCCTCCTTTTACGCATCTTTCCTCTATCGGTTCAGTTTGTGTTGAGTCATTTTCAGTGTCACCACCTGGTTTTACTGAAGTATCCTCCTGAGACTTCATTTCACTCTCTGTGGCAGGATTGTCTTCTTTCAAGATAAGAAAGTCTTCAGCAACTATTTCTTCACAATTTCCTTTATACGA